ACCTAAAAACTCCACATGTCAAACACTCTTGAATGTCTTTATTAGCTTTGTGGTACAAGATACAATCATTCAGACATGCATCAATCTTATTATAATCAAGACCCAGAGCGGAGACAATCTTCTCAGCTTGATAAGTTATTTGGGGTATGCTATTCTCTCCTCTAGGAATTATCATCCGAAGCAAATCAAGAAGCATTTCAAAATAATTATCTGACATACCTGTAGGTGTAAATTTTGATCTCCCGAAAACAGGGGAACTTCGTTTGTATTAATAAGAATAGCTTATTACAAACTAATAAATCGAAATTACAACAGAAGCAGAGGGAATGCCCTCCTTGTTTAGTGTGGGGAATTTCGGTAGCTACAGGATGCTTCGCTCGATGCTCGTGCCGAGTCTGCTTCCCTTGGACGGTTCGACCGAAGTTGCTAGAGAGTTTTAGTACACAGTAGAAGCTCAGATTGATGGAGTTCGGGCTCCCGAGTTCGGCGGCGATCAGGGCCTGGAACTGAGAGGTGATGTTAGAGTGTAAAGGTTATGCAAAGAGCTTGCAGTCGACCCGATTGGGAGTCGAGAGCTAGTGGTTCAATTAGCTGATTCAACTACGAGCGAATCGCTGAATGGCTGAGAGCAGCTGAATTTCTTCTTCGTAGCGGGAAGAAATTCTGAACTGGTGAACCGATGAACCCCTAACCTGTGGCTGGAAGAAGTTCTTAAATGGTGGATAGACGGCATGGTCACTCCTTGAATCATGGGATGTGACCATGTACTGTTGGGAGATGTCTTGCCGCTCATCTGTACTACGAACGGTCATTCGATGGGTTGTGCTTCACGTCGTGTCACGTAGGAGTGGGAAAGCCCATCCTCGTATGTGAACCAGCGGCTGTCTCACTACTCGAGTGGATTTGGCCAGCTTACTGTGCGCCGACAACTCCAGCTCTTGACTTGGACCGATGAGCTGAGTTGCATTTATGAGCACGCAGGTTAATTTGGCGTCTGTCTGATCACCTGTACTGTAAACGGCCACTCGACGGGCCTGGAGTAGTGTGCCTTCTCCTTTCAGGTTGAGAGAGGTGGGAAAGCGGGTTCCTAGTACTCGAGTGGGTTTGGACAGCTCGCCGAATGTCGGCGGACCCAGCTCTTGACTCGGACGGATGAGGTGAGCTGCATTTATGAATATTCAGGTTGATCTGGCACCTGTCCGATCATTCGTACTGTGAGCGATCACTCGACGTTCCTGGAGTACTGTGCCTTCTCTTTTCAGGTCAAGAGAGGTGGGAAAACCCACCCTGGCACGTGGGGTAGCGGATACTCAGCTATTCTGACGACCTTTAGGTTTGCAAGCGGATCCGACTTTAGACTCGGTCAGGCGAGTTGTAAAAGAAAGGCGAATTTTCGTTATTTAGTTGATCTTGACTTGCGCGTGCGAGTCGATCATTCAAGCGAACCTGGGACACGAGTGCGTTTGACGACCGCATAGCTTGGGCCCGTGTTGGTGATTCTTCTTTGCAGGCGAATTTCTCGCAAGTTTACAGAGGTATTTTTTACCGTCTACAATACCGCTAAGTGTATTAATATGTAAGAGTTTCAGGATAAATAAAAATCTAGAATACTCGGTACATCCCTCATATAAGTCTTTTTCATTATCTTCTAGTAGCTCTATTATTCGCTTTATTTCTACGGAGGAATGCATATCATCAGTATCTTTGGCACTTTCGACATCTACCTCTTTAGCTTCAACTTTGAAATCATCTTCACTTTTATCTTTGATATCATCCTCGACATTATTATAAACATCATATTCTGTAAGTTAAGAAAAAATATCATTTAACATTGTTTCTGTGTCATCTATCCGTAGGCCACCGGACGTACCAACACGCACATTTGGATCCTCATCTTCAGTGATATCTTCCCCATGATATGACCAAATTTATATTTTTTTATATAAACCTGATTTCATTAAGTGGATCCGTATATCATTTCTATTCAGCAGCTTCATATTCCTACACCTATAACAAGAACAATACATAGCACTGTTTTTTAAATTTCTCAGATTTATTTCAGCATAACGCATGAAGGCATCGCATCCCTCCTTGTATCGCGTGTCATGAAATCTATAAAGTCGTGGGATATCTATCCATGATTTGTCAGGAATTATCCTCATTTGTAAATTATATATAATTATTAACTGTAATTAATATCATAACTACTAGTACATTTTATGACTCTTATACATACAACACACATTAAATATACGTTCATATATCATTTAACAATATAAATATTTTTTTACATAAAATATATAAGAAGCGTACGTAGAAACTAATTACACCAATCTAATGGCTGTCATAGGAAGGCTTCTATCCATTAAGAATATAGTATTGCTTACATCCAACTTCGTATACTTTGTATATTTTTATTTCTTAAAAATTTTGGCAACATCTACCCGCTGTTCTCCCTGTATTATATGTTGATATTATTATGCATATCAGCAAATGCTTAAAATGCAGAACAACATACGCTTATTGTACACGGAGAATAACAAATACATACTGCCCAAACTTTTAAGAATGAAAATATACAAAGTATACAAAGTTGGATGTATGCACTACTATATTCCTAACCTATCCGAGAAGGACAGATCCAATAATTACAAATTTTAATACCAATTCTTTATTCGTGTAATATAAAATAAACGATTATTTTCGGGAGAAAACTTCGTCTCGTACTTAAATATGAGTCGTCTATCTTATATTATAAGTCCAAAAATTAGATATAATTATTAGACGGAAGTCTAGGGATAACGTTATTTTTTATTCACCTAAATTAGATTATAACATATTATTAAAAATTATAATGTGTTATATATCACTCTATTTTTTTAAAAAAAATTATTTTACATATTTTTACATCACAAACTTAAATAATCACACCTACTTATAGTTTTTACATCATAATTAGGAGTGATGAACTATCATGAATCGAGTATTTTTTACATCATAATTTATAAATTTTAAACTAAATTCAGCAATAAACAATATAAAAATTTATGTAAGAACATAATTCAGGTCATGAGGCTTTAGTGCTTGTCAACATAATCAGCTTTGCGGCATGGTTTTGCATATATAAGAACTCATCATTTAGTCTTCTTTTAATCTCAACTACTAGCTAAGTAGATTAACTAAAATTAACTAAATTGAATAGTGAATAAATTTGAACTAAAATTAAATAAAATTAAACTAAAATTAACTAAAATTGAACAAAATTAAATTAAAATTAACTAAAATTAAACAAAATTAAACTAAAATTAGCTTAATTAGAAAAAATAATTAAACTAAATAACTAATTAATTAAAAGAGTAAATAAGTTTTAAAAAATAGTTCATAAATTTAAAAAAAATAAAAAATTTACCTGAATGGGGATTGCAGGAGAGGGGGAACGTGGTTGAGAACTTGCAGGAGTGACGATGATGAGAGAGAGGAGAGAGAGTGGGATAGGGCTAGGGTTTGTGGGATTTTTTTTATATAATAAACACATCCTAGACTGAAATTTCCGTCTAGGTAGGCAACCTAGATGAAAATTTCTGTCTAGGTTAATTTTTATTTATTTTTTAAATTAAAAATCAACCTAGACGGAAACTTCCGTCTTGGTTGATAACCTAGACGGAAATTTCCGTCTAGGTTGATTTTTAATTTTAAAATATATAAATTTCCATCTAGTTTGGCATTCTAGACGGAAATTTTCATCTAGAAAGCCTCAAACTAGACGGATCAAACTAGACGAAAATATTTCCATCTAGGTTGCCTCAACTAGGTTGTTCCGTCTAATTTGTTTAAGTAACTCTTCGCTAACCTCGTTAAGACCTTAACCAGGTAATTTTTGAACCCGATAGGGATCAATCCTAACCTGGATAAGATCCAAAAAAAAAGACTAACAAAACTTGTTTTAGAGTTGGCCCTATTCTAGCCTAACAAAAAACAAAGCCTTTCCAAGTTGCTTCACTGACCTGGTTAGCGGATAGTTCAACTCCAATCTACAATTAAGGACAAATTTTCAAAACCATCCGGTTTTGAAAATTATTCCCAAAAAAAGACCATTTTCAACTTTAATTACAAAAACAGACCCAGTTGGATGAAACTGGGTCTGTTTTTGAAAAAAAAAAAATTCAAACTTCACGGGAGTTGAACTCACGTGAAGTTTTTTCTCATAACAAAACTTCACGGGAGTTCAACTCCTGTGAAGTTTGAAATTTTTTTTTTCAAAAACAGACCCAGTTTCATCTAACTGGGTCTGTTTTTGTAATTAAAGTTGAAATGAGTCGTTTTTTATAAATAAATTTTAAAAAGTGATGGTTTTGAAAATTTATCCCTACAATTAATGAACACAACACTGACGCTGATCATCCCCAGTCACAACCAATTAATGCACACTGTTGGATTTTCTTAACTCAATTTAGGTATCTGACTAGTCTATTGTAGACATTTATATATGGAAGTCTGACAAATGTCACTAATTAAGAAGTCTATGCAAATATTTAAGACATGAGGATTGGTATGAATTATATATATATAATATATATATTATATATATATATATATATATATATAAAGTATATATCAATCTCAGGTTCCTCTTTGCTTATATCTTCATCTTTTCCCACCTGGCTCCGTGTATATGGTGGAATATAGCCAGGATTTTTTTTGATGACATCAGTTTTGTTTCAGGCCTAGCCTAGTTATAAGCTTGTTTTTTTTTTTTTTTTTTGGCCAAGTCTCCATAATTGGCATGCACCCCCCAAGATTTTGTCCTTCTGCTTCTCTAAAACCCGCACCCCCACTCCAGTCTCAAGATCTCTTGTCTTATTAGTTGGATTTACTAACACTCTCTTCTCACGTGTCCTATAGCTATTCCCCCACTCTATTATTCCAAACCCACGCCACCCAAACTCCCTTTAAATCCCCCCCTCCTCTCGAAACCAAACTCCTCCTCACTGCACGTACGAACTCCCAAAGCCCAGACACACAATGCCTTCCCTTTCAACGGAGAAGCCCTTGCAACTTCAAAACCCACCCCTCCACCACCCTCACCATTTCAAGTTCGAGTCGGCACGTGAGGTCCCCGACTCGCACGTGTGGCCTGCCGTCGACGACCACCCTTCGGTCGACTCCGGCGGGCCTGACTCCGTCCCTGTCATCGACATCTCATCGGTCGATGCGGTCTCGCTCATCGGTCAAGCTTGTGAATCTTGGGGGGTGTTTCAAATTACAGGCCATGGGGCTGATTTGAGACTGCTCGATAGCTTCGAGTCCGAGGTTAGGAGGCTCTTCTCCCTTCCTACTGAACTCAAGCTGAAGGTCGGCCGGACCCAGAGCGGGCTATCGGGTTACGGGCTCGCCCCGATATCCTCCTTCTTCTCCAAGCTCATGTGGTCAGAGGGATTCACCATCTCCGGTTCACCTCTAGAACATGCACGCAGGCTTTGGCCTAAGGACTACACGCACTTCTGGTACGTACGTACGTACGTACGATATTTCGATATTCACATATAAAACCTAGCTCTTGAATATTGTATGTCCGAGTGTTTGTTTGTTTATTTATTTATTTTCTGGTACTTTTTTTTTTATGCGCGTGCAGCGAGGTGATTGAGGAGTACAATAAGGTGATGAAGAGGCTAGCAGAGAGGGTGCTGCACCTGATGCTCCTCTCGTTGGGCCTAACCGAGGAGGACATCAAATGGACCGGGGCCGTGGACATATTCCAAGACCTGACCTCGGTGCTCCAGTTGAACTACGTATCCCTTGCTGCCCAACCCGTGACCGGGCCATGGCCTTGCTGCCATACCGACTCAGCCTGCTGACATTCTGTACCAAAGCGCCACGAGCGCCTTCAGTACTTCGCCTGAGGACCCGTTAGGCCCGCCCGATGGGTGACGTCCACCAACCCCGGGGCCCTGGTCATCAACGTCGGCGATCTCTGGCCATAATTCTTCCAACGGTCGGTTTTCACAGCGTGCTTCATCGCGCCGTCGTTAAAGGACCCGCCCACGGATTTCGCGGCCTTCATATGTGGCGCCAGCCCACGAGGTTCGCCATCGTCAAGCATGGGCCCGGTTTACGGCCCATATCATGGAGAGAGTACTTGGGCTGAAGGCCAGGCTCTTTGACAAGGCTCTGGCATCCATAAAAGTATCAGAAGACGATCGTAACAGCAAGTCGTGCTCCTTGCTGCGTGTAATTAACCATTTTGTTCCTGTCACTGTCAGAGGTTTTGAGTTTAATTTTCCATCAATGTGAACGTGCGTGACAAAATATGTTTGATTTGGCATGTTGTCCCGCTTTTTTGCTCACATAATACGCACGCGCATATATATATATATATATAAATATATATATATATATATATATAATATATATATATATCAGAAAAATAGAGAGAGCTGCGCAGCCAGCGTCCCGTGAACTGACAGCTCTATGGACATGTGAGCCCTATTAGTCACAACTACGTAGGGGCTCACATGTCATAGAGCTGTCAGCCCCGGGCGTGAGCTGGCCAGCTCTTCTACAAACAACCTAATATATATAATATATATATATATAATAATATATATATATATATATATTATATATATATATCAAAAAAAGAAAAAAAAATGAAAAGAAAAAAGAAAAAGGGAGATTTGCGGGGGATTCACATTTGGATCATGTGATGATGAGCTAGGGGACACGAGATGAGACAAACTATTGTGGTCCATGCTTCCATCTCAAAAGGGAAGGAGACAACTTTGTCTTAAAGTTTTTACATATTTTTGAACAGGAGTAAACTATATATGGCTAAGGATGAGGGGGACTTGTCAGTTTAGTTATTGTGGAATTAAAGAGGGACAAGGTGCTAAACTGAAAGGCAACAAGTAGGATATAGCTCCTGTAGGCTATATGTTGTAGCCTGTTGGTTTTGATATCGAAAACATACAGCCTCATGATGTTGTAATTTGTACCTCAAGGTCCTAGCTCCATGATTGCTTTATGAGTGGCTCTCTAGCTCTCGGCCTTTTTAACTTTTCTTGTAAAATAAGAATTCATGTTTTTTTTTTTTTTTTTTTAGATCGATTACGTCTAGTTGGGCTCGAGGAGCAAATCAAGGGAGGACAAATCTCATCCCCCCCTACATTTTTTCCCCCTGCAGGGGGTTCATCGATGAAGATCGTGGAGAGACATGAGAAAGTGGAGGTGGGAGATGGGCCAGTTTCCATGCTATCATGGGCATGCATGGGGTCAGACCATGAGCTCATTGAAACACGCTATATATATATATATATCTCTATCTCTCACGTGATTTCGGCGCTTATTTTCTACTTCTTTCTCCTAACAGTACTAAGGGGTTTTTTCGGCATCAGTCCCCTAAATCTTTAATATTTTGAGAGTAGTCGTTCAAGTCATGCGAAATTTATATGAGATCCCTGAAATCTTATCGCGAACTCTTGGATGACGAGTTCTTCATTTAAAATGGAGATGAGAAACGTGAGGAGATATATAAGAGTTTAGGGAGCTGAGAGTTCAGGTTAGAGAGATAGTTCAATATGAGTATCCTTAAATTAATCTGTAGCAAACTAGAGGGATCGACAATAGCAATTTCAATGATTTTAAAGATTATTTTTAAAAATATTAAATATTTAAGGGACTAATATTGAAAAACTCCATCTTTTTTGTGACAATGAATCTTGACGAGGTCAATCATGTATCAAGGAGGTCCATGGTTCATGCGCTCCCAACAATAGAAGGAATGATATTTAAAGTTGTTGATGCTCGATATCAAACAACCAATTAATCCAGAAGATGATTGTTGCGGGGTGGCGAAGGATGATGGAGGGCTCGTTCCCTTTTCTAACTTTACGCCTGGTTCTTGAATGAGGGTCTGATGTCCGCGCTGCACAGACAGAGATAACTCGTGAGAGGGCCCGGACCGGCTCCCCCGTGGTTCCTCCGACGATCAAGTCAGTTGATAAACATGAACTTGAGTGGAATCACAGGACTGTGTGTTCTTGGGGGTTTTTAGATTGCGAACCTTTTGCTATAGCGAATAGCCTCTCTATTTATGGGATATGCCGATGGTAAGTTGGTCACTCCATGTGTATAGAGTAAGACGGTAGTGAGGTGGTGATGAGGAGTGAGTTAGAAAATAAGTCATCATTCGCTCCACGCATGTTAATCTGTGAGTGGCGGGAGATCACTTCGGCAACATTGGGAGCCAACAGCCGACAAGTCTTCAAGACAGTTGAGGAGTGACACTTAATGATGATCATCAAAGATTAAACAATGTTAAGAAGTGACACCTATGCTGACAGATATGAGATAAGAGCAAACCTTTGCTTCGTCCAGAAGCAAGGTTCATAGGGTCATATCTTTGAGTTGCTGACTTTCGTGTCGACCAACACCGTCTTTCGCACCGACTCAGGAGTGTCGGCATGTTCGACTGGTGGAAGTATTGTCTCGTCTCAGCTTAATAACCGTCTTTTGAGTCGGTCTAAAGATGCTGACTTATCTGGCATGTCAGAATCTCTTGTATCGGCTAGTATCGCCTCTTGGGTCGACACCAAGGTGCCGGCTTGACGAGTTGGTAGTGTCGAGACCTCTGATTTTATGATCGAACCCGTCAGTTGACTAATGCTGTAACGGTTAGTTTTTTTCAGCTTTGTTCTGTTTTGATTTTTTTTGATATTTTTGCTGGGTTTTCTTGATCTTTGGGGTTCCCTATATATACCCCCTCATACCCAGCTATGTTCAACTAACCAAGAGAGTTTTAAAAAGAGTTTAAGTATGTTTAACAATTGTTTAAAGTTTGTTTAGTTTGTTTAAACCAAGAGAGTTTTAAAAAGAGTTTAAGTATGTTTAACAATTGTTTAAAGTTTGTTTAGTTTGTTTAAAGCTTGGTTTGTGAAGATATTTTCACAAGAGGAAGTGGAGATCAATTCTTGGTGTTTGAGCTTCAATTCATCTCTCCTACTCTTTCCATTTTAAAGAAGTTTTTCTAAACTCAATTTTTAGCTTTATATTTACATTGTTTATTGATTATCATCTCTATAAGCTAGATTTTTATAATTGTGTTTAGTTTGTTTTGATTATACTCTTTGTTCACACACAACCATTGAGCTTATTATATTTGCATATATAGTATAATTGGGGTTGTGGATTTGTGTAACTTAGAGAGTGAGCCTACATTGTATTCTCATCTATTGTAGAGAATAAAATTGTATTAGAGCTAAATTGTGAGGTTCACATTGTATTACACAAGTACACCAAGAGGAGTGTAGAGGTGAGAGACGTGGTCGGTCCCAAGAGGAGTGGGGTCGGTGGTAAAGCCTAGAGGTAGGTCGTAATTCTGAGTTCTAGGCATTTCGACTCCTAAGTCGAACATTAATCCATTGGCTCTTTATCAAGATAAGCCCAAGGCATAACGACTTCTCAGTCGGATATCAAGTCCTTGGCTCTTTATCAAGATAAGTCCAAGGCACAACTACTCCTTAGTCGAACATCAAGACCTTGGCTCTATTAAGATAAGCCCAAGGCACAACGACTCCTCAGTCGAACATCAAGCTCTTGGCTCTTTATCAGGGCAAGCATAAGGTACAACCCTATGGTCGACTCCTACAGTCACTACTCGACCTTACGGGAATTATGAAGACTAAGCATCCAACCTTAGAGTTGCCATTCTATCAAAAAGGTATTCATAAACCTAAGATACGAATATTAAGCGTATGGCTAAAAAATTAAGCAGTCATCTGTCAAGTTCTGATCAGTTAAACACTCAGCCAAAATAAGACATCAAGTGAACTAGTTGTCATAAGTCTCCAGTATGGGTCAACACACTACAACTAACTCACTTCAGCCAATATCTCAGATGAGAACGAAGCTACAAAGCTAAAAGAATGCAAACAATGAAGGCAAGCTCAAGAATGGAGATAAAATTTAATTTTCATTCAATAATAGTAAACTTCATTACATATTCTTTTACAACAAAAAAGAGAAAAGAAAAAAATTGATAGATACAAGTCTTCAAACCCTCAACTAGACTCAGGAGTTGGACTTGGCGGACTCCTAGTGGCAGCAAGGGTAGAAGATTCCCCAGGGGCCCCAGCAACAGGATCGACCTCATCGTCATTCGCTGATAAATCCAACCACCTCCAATTTTCTCGACATATTTTAGCAAGTCGAGACAACAAGAGACGCAGGAAGGATAGAAGTAATCTGGAGTCGGATAAGAGTCGCGAGGCACCAAGGAGGTGAAGTAATCAACCCTAGGTTTATAAGCTAAAGCTACTTCAGGCTTCCCTATAGAACCGTGACGCCAGTCGTGAACCACCTTCTTTCTATGCTGCTCTGAGTCCAGACGAGCAAGATGATCATTCAGTTTGTTGACAAGGACTGTGGATGCCTGAAGCCTTGATTGTAGCTCTTCAAAGTCCCCTCTCATCTTTTCAACTTCCTCAGCCGTCGTCCTACGACGCTTCTCAGACTCGGCCTCCGCCTGTAGGTGAACCATCTCCCTTTTAAGGTCCTTGATGGTCCCCGTCTGCTTGGAGAACTGGATCCGAAAGCTCTTAATGAGCTTTTCCTTCTCATCCAAACTCTGGCGCCAAATACCTTCTTTATGAGTTAATTCGGCCTCCAAGACAATGACTCTCTTCTCTGCCTCTTCCTTGGCTGACTTCTCCTTAGCTAGATCTGCTTGGCCTTCCTGGGAACGCTCAAGTCGATTGAACATAGCATGTCCCAGCGAAGTTCCCCGAGCTAACCAAGCTTGGAGAGCTTGGAGTATGCCAACACTTAGCATATCCTCCAAATTCCTCCCGTCAGCACCATTCTCCATCTGTTCTAGCGGAGTTCCTGCTCTCCCCTCGATGACGTCGTTCGCCTCAATCGGCTCCTTGCCAGGATGAAGAGACACCTCAGGATTAGTACTGGGGCCGACAACATTCTCATCGAACACTGGGGCCACAATTAGGGCTGTCCATTTTACCCGCTGGCCCGGGCCCGGCCCGGAACAGTCCGGCGCCGGGCTAAATCCGGGCCGGGCGGCCCGGGCCCGGGGCCCGGCCCGTGCGGCAACGGTCACAACACGTGACCGTTGCCGGGAAAAAGCCGGGCCGGGCCGCCGGGGGCCGGCCCGGCCCGGCCACAACGGCCAGATTTAGCCATTTGACCGTTTTGCCCCCAAAAATGGTCAAAAAACGGCTATTTTGTGAGGTTATTTTGGTCATTTGCCTAGGGGCTGGTTCTATAAATAGAGGGGGTTTTCA